CGGTGCTGCAGCCTCGCGGAGAGGAGGCGACGGGCCCCCCGCGCAGAGCGGGGCCGCCTGGGCGCTGTGAGGGCGTTCCCGGCTTGTCGGTCCAGAAGCTGAGGGAGTTTTGCTGTCGGAAAAGGAGCAGCGGCGCCGTCAGGAGAGAGGTGAAGCTGTTCACGCAGACTGGGGATAACTGGCCGCCCAGCGCCCAGGCGAAGCGCTGCACCCGGTTTAACTGCCTCTGTCCCGCAGGTGAGGCGAGGATGACCATGGCCCAGGCCGGAGCCGTAGTTGCAGCTGCCACGGGACTCCTCATCTTCCTCCTCTACTCCTCAATTCACAAGGTTGAGGAGGGGCACCTGGCTGTGTACTACAGGTACTGTTCCCAGCCAGTACCCTTGATGGCTTCTGTAGCTTTCCCTAGGCTTCTGTGTCTGGGTTGGGATTCATCCCTGGCCTCGGATCAGCTCAGGAGGCAATTGCTCTCTCCCGTGTTCCCCTCGAGGTGGGTAGACCCTGTTGTTTCTGCCTCTTGCACCAGAAACAACGTGGGCCTGGATAGCCTGGCTCTGTGCAGAACCATTCTGAGTTTTGGTCTTTCTGAATTCTCAGCTGCTTTTCCTTCCTTACTTTCCTTCCCTTTTCTGAGCGTAATTTTGATTTCAAAGCTTAGAGAACTGAAGCTGTTGGTCCGTCCAGTCTTCATGGCTGGTGATCTCTCCCTCTTACATCAAATGCTGTCACCACAGTCCTAAGACTCTTGGCCAGCCAGAGTATGTGCTTCCGTGTTGCTTTGCAATGGGTCTTCTCCCTGACTCTGGGCTCGTAGCTGGCCTGAATAGTGCCTGTAGAGTAACTCGTTCCACAACAGTGAGTGGTCATAGTCACTTAGTGCCACCTTTTTACTACATTTTGCTTCAAATTTGAATAAAGAAACAGAGAAGTTCAGCACTAGTCTTTTTGCATTTTTTGCTTTTTTTTTTTTATTTTAGTCCTGTCTTTTCTACCCTTTCCACTCACCACCATGGGCCAGTTTTCTTTGCGCTGCTCTTTCTTTTAATTACAAGCGTGTTGAACAGCATGGACCCTTGCAGGAAGCTGCAGGAGACCTTATCGTACTACAAGGATCTATCGCGTAGAGCTGTCCTCCGTCTCCTGTCTTTTAGCCACCTGCTGGTCCCCATGAGAGGCTGTGGGTTTTCTTTGTGCTTTGGGTAAGGGACTGTGCTGAATGTCTTGTGGAAATCCAAACTCGCAGTATCATATCAACTGCTGGATTTTTCCATGGTTACCAGTGAACTGTTTAGAGAGGAAAATCTGTGTTCTTGAAGCTCCATGCAGTGTTGCAACAATGGAAGAATTTAGCAATATCTGCCTGCTCTAAAAGTTAATTGCTCACAGGACTGAAGCAAATGATTGTTGAGTTGCAGCAGACAAGTATCATGCAGTCAGTTCTGTTATAGGGGAACTGGTGGCACATTTGGTGCAGGTGAGTAATATAATTTGCACTACCACAGTTGTGACCCCTGCCTATATGTATTTGCTCACTCTCAAAGCCAGCACTTGCTTTTTTCCAGCTGCTAGAGCCTTTTCCCATTTTCTTTCTCTCTCTGTAGGGGTGGTGCATTGTTAACTAGTCCAAGTGGACCAGGTTACCACATCATGCTCCCATTCATTACCACATTCAAATCCGTGCAGGTTAGTATCTTCTCATCTTAGTAGAGGGTGGGTAGGAGCAGATGGCAATAGGGATGTTGCCGGATGGCGGTGTCTTGGGCAACTGGTGTTTGCAGAGCCCTTGGTTCCTTCTGCCTTAGGCGCCAGACCCAGCTGTGTGCTAGGACTTGTCCTTTTGGTGGAATCTCCACAACATGCGTGTGTGTTGCCTGGGACAGGAGATGTCTTACTCTAGGAGCACAGTATGTGTGTGTGGCCCTAATTGTTTCCCAGTAGAGCTGCAGGAGCTGAGAGTAGGGAAATGAGCACAGCTGCATTTTTGTCTCCCAAAAGGCAAGTTGAAAAGAAGTCTGTCTTCTGCCTGCATGTGCAAAAGTCAGGAGGGAAGCAGAGGACACGTTTTGGGCTCCATGTGTCTGTGTAATGGTTGTGAGAGTCTGGGCACAGCATGATCTTCCTGGAGAATGGAGCGATTTTGTGAGCATTGATTGTCTTTTTGTTTCAGACCACGTTGCAGACTGACGAAGTGAAAAATGTGCCCTGTGGGACAAGGTACGGTTTTCCTTTGTATGTCTTCTGGTGATGAACAGATGCACTCTATCGTGTAGTTTGCAGCTAGTCATTTACGATGCTGTGACACACAGGCTGAAAAATAAAGGCACATGCCCTAAAATTAGTCCCAAAGATACACATATACGTCACACTTACAAATAGTAGAGCAGGAGGTATGGGAGGTAGTGCTCTTGCTTTCACTGGAATTGATGTTCAGAGGGTATTTGCACTTAGAGTGATATTCTCTTGATTTTTCTTGGTTTCATCCCTTGATTACTCTGATAGCCCGTTGCTTGTGCTTTGGTGTGTCCTCTGCCTTGCAGTATCTCTAGTATGAATCTTGCGGCTAATACCAGTGTTGACCCTAGCAGTGGGCAGAAGTAAATGGTGAATGGGAATCCTCCTGATGGGAGACAATTCATTTCAGAATCATCTCAAGAAATGAGTCTCCTGGAGTTGTTTGGGCATTTTTGGAATTGACATTTCACCTGACATAGAGAGTGAGAAGGAATAAAGAAGAATCCTGTGCATGCATGGCACCTGCCTGCTTCATGGTTAAGCAGATCCTGTTGTCAGCAGACATCTGTATAGTTTTAACAAGCAGAGTAGTAACAGGAGAGTACTAGTTGAGCTGGGTTGCAAGATCCTGTTGTGTTGGTTCATTCACAAGTTAGTGATGACCAAATCTGTTTCTTCAGGAGAAAACCAAAACTGGTGATACTCCTTGTTTTTCAGTGTTAGGGTACTCAACAATATTTCTGTTTGGAAAAAAAAAAAAAAAAGTATGACATGAATGATGACACAGAACAGCAGTGTTGAAATGAAAAGTTGAATGTTAGTGGGAACATTAATGAGGCAGAGTTAATTTTTATCTGGTTTAGTCCTTATTGACATGACTTCTTGGAATTATTCCTATAGCGACTCATCAGACATCACTTGGGTTTAAATATTAACATAAAGTTCTCATGGATCCTAGGTGGTTTTAGTTTTAGATCTCAAACCTCTTTCAGGAGTGTCTGTAAATAATGCTAGTGTTTGGTGCTGCAGGCAGGGCTTTGTGGTCAGGTGAAGAGTCTTTAGGTCAAGTGAAAAGTGATTGCAGGAAGGAAGAGTAAGACTCAGTATGTTCTATAGCCATATCTTTTTAAATAGCACAGTTAAAAATGTAAGTCATCAGAGCAGAGTTTTAGCTAAGTGTTTAATGTCAACTTGTAGCTCGCTCATAAGTAGCGTAAATAGGAGTAATACTTCACCTGCTGGATGTTGTAAAACAACATCACGTCTCTGGGCCAGGCATGGCATCCTGCTGTCCTGCAAGCCTGCTCAACAGACCAAGGACACCTTTCCACTGAAGCTTAACCACGTAAGATACGCCAACACAGTCCATATTAAACTGTGCTGCTTTGACCCTGCTTGCACAGAGAGGTTCGATGAGATGACCTCTAGAGGTCCCTGACAGCCTCAACTATTCTGTGCATCTGTGATTTAGGAGATAAGTATACTGTTTAGTTCTGTATAGTTAGTTCATTAAGTTGCTGTTACATTTCAGCATTGCAGGATTCAGTTGTGTGGTACGGGTGGTTGTGAACTCACAGGTGATAAACATGCGTTAAATCACCAAGCAGCTGGTGAAATAGTTCTTAGTTAATAATTAAATATACTCCTGACCAAAGGTCCCAGTAGCCCTGTTCATTTTTATGGTGTTGTTCAGGAGCCTTTAAATTTGCTGCATTTGGAATCAAAAGTCTGCAGCTGCTTGTGGCAAAACTTTGAATACAGATTTCCATGATAAAATATAAGCTTATAAATAACAAATGGATCAAATCTGAAATTTCACTATCCCGTTTTGAAGTTCATTGCAAGAATAGATCCTAAACAGATTAAACATCTGTAATTGTGTATTAAACCATCGAATTTTAAAGCTGGGTTTCTCTTCCACCATATTCATGTTTCTAACCCCTGTATCTTCTTCTACATTAAGAAGCTTCTGAATGGCTGTGTGGGTGTCCCATCCCCAATTTCTGCCTTACCTGTCATGTTTATACTTGACAGTATTAAGTGAATACATTAAATACAGATTTTAAAATACTTTGGCACCAGATGACTATTTCTCATAAAACAGCTGTCACCCCAGAGATGAAAACAGTTTCATTACAGCAGGTAGAATATGTATCTCCTCTAAGCTGTGAATTGCCTCTGGTGTCTGAGATTTCTGGCTTTCCCCAACAAGAAAATGCATGCACAGTTCCTTGGAAAGTTCATCAGTTTCCTCATGGCAGGTCTGCTGATCTCTAAAAACTGATGGAAAATCAGTTCAATTAATTAGTTTTAGAAGAGCGAAGTATTCCAAAGGACTGGCTCAAAGAATTAATCACGAATTAATATATTCACAAGTATACTAACTGTAGAATAAAATAAATGGCTTGAAATTGGTGTCATGCAAATATTGCGTGAGAGAATTAGGTAAGTGGCATTTTTCATAGAAACCGAACTGGAAAGAATCTTGCTAAATACAGCACAGGTTTTTACAACCGTAGAATCATAGAATGGTTTGGGTTGGAAGGGACCTTACAGGTCATCTAATTCCAACCCCCCTGCCATGGGCAGGCACACCTTCCACTACACCAGGTTGCTCAAAGCCGTGTCCAACCTGGCCTTGAACACTTCCAGGGAGGGGGCATCGCCAGCTTCTCTGAGCAACCTGTTCCAGTGTCTCACCACCCTCATCATAAAGAATTTCTTTGTTGTAGCTAACCTAAATCTTCCCTCTTTCAGCTTGAAGCCGTTGCCTCTTGTCCTATCTCTAGATGCCCTTGTAAGAAGTCCCTCTCCAGCTTTCCTATAGGCCCCCTTCGTGTACTGGAAGGCTGCTGTAAGGTCTCACCACAGACTTCTCTTCTCCAGGCTGAGCAGCCCCAACTCTCTCAGCCTTTCCTCCTAGGAGAGGTGCTCCATGGCTCTGATCATTTCTGTGGCCCTCCTCTGGAACCCGCTCCAGCAAGTCCATGTCCTTCCTGTGCTGAAGGCTCCAGAGCTGGATGCAGGACTCCGGGTGGGATCTCAGCAAAACAGAGTAGAGGGGCAGAATCACCACACTCGCCCTGCTGGCCACAGTTCTCTTGATGCAGCCCAGGATACAGTTGACCTTCTGACTGTGAACGCACATTGCCAGGTCATGTTGAGCTTCTTGTCAACCAGCACCCCGAAGTCCTTCTCGACAGTGTTGCTCTCGGTCCATTCCCTGACCAGCCTGTATTTGTGCTTGGGATTGCCCCAGCCCATGTGCAGGACCTTGCACTTGGCCTTGTTGAACTTCGTGAGGTTCACATGGTCCCACCTCTCAAGCCTGTCAAGGTCCCTCTGGATGGCATCCCCTCCAGCATGTCAACTGCACCACAGAGCTTGGTGTCATTGGCAAACTTGCCAAGGGTGCACTCAATCCCACTGTCCATGCTGCCGACAAAGGTGTTAAACACTACTAGTCACCGTACTGACCTATGAGGAACACCACTCATCACAGGTCTCCACTTGGACATTGAGCCTTTGGATGCAACTCTTTGAGTGCAACAATCCAGACAAGAAACAGTCGGGACACTAAGGAGTAGTATTGCTCAAGCATTAGAGGTTTATTTGCAAAGGTGTAAGAGTCTTGTGTTCATGCTAATGCTGTTCTGGAGAGATCTCTGTGAGCCAGTCATGTGGAAAAATGTGTCATGAATATTGCAAGTGGATGTATTGCATTAATCCTTGTATTTCTAGACAGACCAGATCTGACCTTTGTAGCCCAGTTTTTACACACTCTGATTACCTAACCTACTCTGGTCTTGTTTGTGGTCAGGTCTAGCAATCAGCATTAAACCTTCCCCTTTTTTTTATGGCTTCTTTTTCATGGCAACGTCCTTCAGTTTTTCCCTGGCATAAGCTAAAATCTGGAAATGCATGAGGCTTTTTAAAGTCTACTGAAATGCCCGCTAGTGTAAGTTAGTGCCACGCGCCCTTTCACCTTGTCCTCTAAAGTTGGGCACTTTTGCTGCATAGCTATGCATACTGAAATACATCTCGCAGGTGCGTGTAGTCTATGTGTTAATCCTCCTTTCAGACTTCCTGTGGATTTCATCTTGTTCCTCTGCTTCTGACCAAAGAGCCTGCTCAACTCAGTGCTGCTTTACCTGACCAACCTCATGAGCAGCTCTGTGGTGAGGACCTTGGGGGGTGTTAGTAGACCTTACAGAGACTGCAAGTGGTGGTGTTAGAAAGGCTGTGGAAACTGTGGTGGAGAGTTGCAAGCACTGGAAATCTCCCCGTGGGAGTCACCCTGCCATGCATCTGGCAAGAAGCAGGCTTTGGCAAACAAGGATGTTTTGAGAGTGGTAGTGTTTTGTCGAAATGGAAAGCGCGCTGTCTGAGCCAACGTTTAAGTTGTATGTGTCAAAGGGCAAGTAAAGCAGCTGTGGGTGGTGAGAGTATTTGTACAGTTTTGGGTCAGCAAGGTGTGTGAGTTGTCCCACATCAGTGCGTGATGCTTTGCCAGAACAGCTGTCCCAAAACTGCCCAGGACAGTATATCCTGCACCCCAGGAGTTTACGAACATCTTCTGGACCAGGCTGTTTGAGAGGAGGTCTTGGCTGAGATGCTCGCTTTAAGATCAGTGCTACAATTCAGTTTGGCTCCTGGCTTGACAGCAGCAAAGTCCAGAGGGACATCCTCACTGCACAAACTGAAATGATGATGGCTCCAGTAGCTGGATGGATGGAAAGCGCAGTGTAAGTGCTTTGTAGGCTTGGGTTAACCTTAAGCCCTCAGTGGGGAAACAGGTAGCCAGCATATCTGGGCTCTGAGTAGCACCTGTTTCCTCAAAGCCATTGCCCGACCAACAGGACTGATATAATTCCCTTACACCGCACCCTGTTGACCTACGCTGGTTGAGATCCTTGCAAGGGTTGCTGTGGGTAGTGTTGATTGAGTCAGACGGGCAGCAGGCCGTCCTCTCTGGTCTGAGGTGCCAGCCTTTCTTGCATGTGAGATCATGAGGGGCTGTGGGTGAGTCCTGCTTAGGAGGTGGATTGTCTCAGGTACTCTCTTTTTCCTGCTAACATCCCTGTAAAATTGAAATGCCAAAAGGACCACAGCAATAAGGATGTGCAGTGGAGAAGACTGATGGAAGAAGCCCACACACACAGTTTTGGTTCTTCACCAGGATATTTAGAAGATACCCCAAGATGGTGGCTGGGTTTCCCTGTCCTGGTGGAGATGTCATAAGGTGACTGGAACAAATCAGGAGGATGAAAGCAGGTTCAGAAGGTCATGAGGAATACTGTTGGACGTCACTTGCAATGATAAATAGTCATTTTAGTGGATGCGATGGGACAGTTAGAGTATAGAACAGGTGAGATGGAGAAAAACATATACCATGCCATTATAGCTGCTTGTGCAGCCTGACATACCTATAAGGGATCCATAAGCCTATCTTATTTGCAGATAATAGTAACAGTGCTTAAGAGAGAGCTAGCAAGAATGACCATGGTGTAAAGTGAAATCTTGAGTAAAAAAGATTAGTACTCTTGATAGTAGTATCTCACTGGGAAATAAGTCTTTCTCTAGGCACAAATATCTTTTCTGCTGGCTTGTCCCTTCCAGCAGGCAAGTTCAGTTCATCACCAATGTTTTTACCTCATAGCTTGCCATTAAGCAGGAAGGTTGGCAGAGCAAATGCAGGCTGTGGCTAGGAGACCTTTTCGAAAACAGCACAGACACGGGGGGCAAGTTCAGGTGATTTTTCTGTAGACTTAGCTTTCAACTGCCAGAGATTAAGATCTGCAAAATAAGAAACAGACTTTCTCATGGGGGATACATTTGAGTTAAAACACCCCAGAGAGTAAGTTTGGAAATTTGAAAGGTCTGCTTCTGGGGAACAGCTGTCTACGCAGTTTCTGCTAAAGCGTCTCATTAGTTATTTGCCTTTGCCCTGAGGACAAAATCGCAAGAGTGCTTTAGAAATACACTCCTGAGAGACCTATGAACAGTTGAAAATTGAGGGGTTTTTTCTTCACTGTAGAGTTTGTGCTTTTCCCCGGTGCCACAGGTACCCAGGGGTGGGTGTGATCTGCTGAAAGACACATCAGTAAGAGCAGAGGCTGGGATCAAGCCCCACCTCTGATTCGCTCTTTGTTCTGCCGATCTGGCAGAGAGGACTGCCTACAGGCTTCTTCTGATGAGGGATCTGGAGCTTCTTGACAGTGCACATAGCTGGGTGCATGTGCACAGTTGTGGTGTTACTGAACAGCTGTTTGCAACATGACGTTGATGCAAGGAACATGAATTTAAGTCTGTTACATGCTTTGTTTCTTCCTTTGTAACAGAGGACTTGTCAGCTTCCTGCTGGAGTTAGTAAATGCATGAACTTAAACTAAGGGCTTTTTATTTAAAATGTATTTGCTGCCTAGGAGAGCTGCGGTGCATCTGCAGTTTGTGTCTGCTCTACTGCTTGCAGGTGTTGTCTGCTTTCCTTTTTGTCTTCCTTTTGTTGTGCTGGATTTCCCCTTTCTGATAGTTGCAGTTACATTCCTGTTCAAAAACATTTTCCTTTTGCTGACTAAGTAGGAGATAACAAAGTGAAGCAAAAGTGCTTTGCAGACTTGCTGGAGCACGCTTTTGATTTATGCAGAGAGGGGCCAGTCTGTACAAAGCCGGGATTTGCTACCATCTAACTGAAAAATGCTTAAGAAGTCAGAATTGTTCTGGGTAAATTTAGTAAAAGAGGGAAAAGGATGACTTTGCTTTAAATATGGACCACTGTTAACAGTTGCTGTAATAATTCATTAATTCTCTTTTTCACTTGCAGTGGCGGTGTTATGATCTACATTGACCGAATAGAAGTTGTGAATAAATTGGCACCGTATGCAGGTATTTCTCCTCCTGTTCCAACAAGCAGTTGAAACAGTTGTGACTGTCTTCACGCATGATGTAGCCACTCTGTCTTGCTTTGCAAAACTTCCATTTTCTTGTGTGTTGTTATCCTTATGGTTCTCAGTGCTGTAGCACTTAGTTTCATGCATGTATCTGCAAGCTTTTTGAAGAGCCATGGGTTTGCAAAGATGAAAATAAATTCTAGGATTGCTTCTCCCCTGTACATTAGAAAGGTGATGTGTGCTCAAGCAGTGCTATTTCTTGCTGCTGAAGGGGAGACCATCTGTGAAACTAAATACACAGGACAAAGTCCCAGGTGCTTGCCAGCTCAGCTCCTGGGAAAATTACAAAGGCAAAGCCTGCATAGGAGCCTCTTGCCTTCTTATTTAACCGGCTGCCAAACCCAAGACCCACACAGCATTTTTTTTCCAGCAGTATTGCTTAACACAAAACACTAGCATTACTGAGGCATTGAAGGGTGAATTAATGATAGAATTGTGAGAATTATACTTCTCGCTTTTAAGTGGTGCATGTTCCTATGCGTACAGGTCCTGGACAGGCTTTACTGTTTCATTTGTTTATGCAGATCTTAAAACAGGACCGTGCAGTCTGTCTGGCTCTAATTACTCTGTTCTTAATCTGTCACATAATCCCAGCAGCACTGGTGGAGGGGACCGCTGCAGTTTTTTCCTCTGACCTCCCACCTGCTCACAGCAGGCTTCTCACTAGCAGCTGGGCAGGGCAGCTGTGGCTTTGTCTAGCCAAGTCCTGAAAAATTCTGAGGATGGAGATCCCCCACCCACTTGTCCCAGTGCTGCACTACTTTACTAATACCATGAGTGTTGCTTTGCGATTGTGTCATTGCAGAAAGCAGTACATGTCAGTGGTGACCTGTGATACTTCTTTTACTTCCACAGTGTACGATATTGTGAGAAACTACACTGCAGATTATGATAAGACCTTGATCTTCAATAAAATTCATCATGAGCTGAATCAGTTCTGCAGTGCCCATACCCTGCAGGAAGTATACATTGAGCTGTTCGGTAAGTGGGTGGCAGCTGGATGCACCCACCGAGTGCTGTGTAATCTCCCTGTTCTGCTGTGGAATATGTTACAGCAGGCTCCTGTGAGCAAACAGCCTCTGTGCTGGAGTTGCAGTCTAGAATCCAGCTCCTTATGTCCGTATGTCACTTCCCATGTAACTTTACTCTTTAATGATTTAGATTTCTTTGTATTTCCACATTTGCACATTGGAATTTGAATTCAGTCCTTTTCCACTTAGGACTGAATTCTGGATGCACACAGTAGCCACTCTGCTCTTGTGTGTGCAGTCATGCCCATTACCTTCACTATGATGATGGTTTTGTCTTGTCTGCTTCTACTTTTATGTCCCTGTTCTGTTGCTGAATTAACTTTCTTTGAAAGCTTCCTTCTGTCTGTTTTTAGCAAGTGAGGGCTGTAAGGGACATGCTCTCAGTTCATTGCAGTGCTCTGTTTTTTTCACAAGGGGGTAGCAGTGGTTCAGGAATTAGCAAATTTAATGTTCTGCTTGTTGGTACCTACCTGTGTCCCCAAAGACATAACAGCATCATGTTCCTTCTTGAATAGCAGAGCAGGGGAAGATGGCTTTATGGAAGATAAAAGGTTGTCAGAGTTTTAGTATTAAGAGACTGTCAGTCTGTGATTGCTGTACTCAGACTTGCCAACTATCTGTAGTCGGAGGGGAGTTTTCTGGTAGTACATGCAGCTTAATCCCTTCATAAATGGCCATTTCTGTGGAAAGATCTTCCTGGAGCTTGGAAGTGACAAAATGCATTTTTTCAGTAGCGAGTACTGGGTCTCAGCTATCTCAAAGGGGGAAAAGAATTCTTGGCCACGAGCTGGCGGGGCTCATTGAGAGGGCTTTAAACTAGGTTCGAAGAGGGAAGGGGATATTGCCCAGCTCACTAGGGATGAGCCCAGGCTTGGAGTGCCAAGGCCAGGGGTGAGATTGACAGCCCAGCTCAAGTGTGTTTACACCAATGCACGTAGCATGGGCAATAAACAGGAGGAGCTGGAAGCCATTATACAGCAGGACGGCTACGACTTGGTCGCCATCACAGAAACGTGGTGGGACAACTCGCATGACTGGCATGCTGTCATAGATGGCTACAGACTCTTTAGGAAAGACAGGCCAACAAGGAGAGGTGAGGGAGTTGCTCTATATGTGAGGGAGCAACTGGAATGCATTGAGCTTGGCCTGGGGGCAAATGAGGAACAAGTTGAAAGCTTGTGGGTTAGAATGAAGGGACAGGCTCATAAGGGTGACATTACGGTGGGTGTATACTACAGGCCACCCGACCAGGAGGAGGAGGTTGATGAAGCCTTCTACAGGCAGCTGCAAGCAGCCTCACAATCACAG